AAAGCAGTTCCGGGCGGATGACGTATGAGTTCAGCATTGTGCACGCGCCGGTGAGTCTCGGGAAAACCAACGTTTGTTAACTGGAGCAAAGGAAGCAAAGTTTCCTTACTTTAGCAAAGAAAAAACAGTCTCCTCTTGGCTTATATCGAAATCCTCTGACATTCTTCTTTACAAATCCTCGTTTTGTACTTCTAATAAGTGACCGGTGTTTTGTTTTGATCTCTCCCCTGCGCTTCCTCGTTCGTCACTTCTGAGCGGCGCATGCGCAACGCCGACAATTAATAAATAAAATACCTGCTCCAAGATTTGTTGGCAAAAATGCTGCAAGCCCCACAATTTTGAACTTTGTTCCCCATATGTTAGATGTAACTTGCGCAAGATAATTGTGCTAAAATACAAGGAGACAAATCTTAATAAGAGGGAAACATTCTGTGAGCTCACACATAGATGTTTTTACAAATGTGTCCCTGCAGCACAGAAGCAGTGTTGAGTCGCTGGGGGATATTTGTAGCAATAGCCAACAATACATTGTATGGGTCACAATTATACATTTCTCTTTTATGCCAAAAATCATTAGGATATTAAGTAAAGATCATGTTCCATGAAGATATTTTGTAAATTTGTACATCTCAATTTCTAAAAACTTATGACTGGTTTTGTGCTCCAGGGTCACAAATTGTACAGCCAGCACTGTTTATCATTTAGCTGCGGTGAGCACCTGTGTGATGTCATCGAGCGGAGACTCCCGCCGAGTCAGACTCGGAGAGCCAATGGAGGGCTTGCGAATAGGTAACCGAGGCGATCGCGATATTTCCTGTGCGGTGCGGGAGAGCTTGGGGGACTTACGGGGATCTATATTTATCCTGTTGGTAAAGGGACACACTAAGTCTCTACAGAGAAGGTAGCAAGCGAAGAAAAGAGTTCAAGGTGAGTTTGCAGCAGCATGCGGTCTAAAATTGCAGAGTTAAACAAAACTTCAGAACTGGAGGATCCGCGAGTTTCACGCTATCAAGATGAGCTCTATTTTTAGGAAAGCATTTCATGATGCATATCTTGTTATTAAAGGGATAGTTCACCCAAAAATGAAAATGTGATGTTTATCTGCTTACCCCCAGGGCATCCAAGATGTAGGTGACTTTGTTTCTTCAGTAGAACACAAACGAAGATTATATTATATCAGTCTTATAATGGAAGTGGATGGGAATCACGGCTTTGGGAGTAAAAAAAACAAAAAAAAACAAACAAAACCACTGTACAGTTTCTTGCACAGACTGATCGTTTTGTGTCTTTACACATCAATGTATCGTCACGAGCTGCAGGGTTTAATTTGCTTTTCCTTGTGTGTTTTTTTTTACTCTCAAAGCCGTGATTCCCATCCACTTCCATTATAAGACTGATAGACTGCAACGGTTTGAGTTCAAAATCTTCATGTGTGTTCTACTGAAGAAACAAAGTCACCTACATCTTGGACGCCCTGGGGGTAAGCAGATAAACATCACATTTTCATTTTTGGGTGAACTATCCCTTTAAGCAGGTTAAAATGTGCATCAATGAAATTCATGCATAGCCACATCAGCTGCAATACAGTGTCTTGTTCCACTAATCAAGCATCTAAAACATGCAGTACCTGGGAAGTTTGGGAGACTTGCTCCCTCTGGAGATCTTTGGTGATTTCTTTCCAACCCAGTCATCATTGAGCTCAATGTCACTAGAGTCTGAGCAATTGCAGCTGTCAATCACAGAGGGGAAGAAGCTGTTTCCATAGACTTCATCTGTGATGAGAAACAATGTGAGCCGACGAGGAACTAAACCTGTGTGGCATTCTGGCCAAAACTTTGCTTGTATAACCCCACCTGCTTTCCCATCAGTCTTTGGGTCCATGATGACAAATTCAGGGCGAAGTTTGCTAATCCTACGGCCTTTCAGAATAGGCACAAGCCCCCCCAGATACTCCAGGTATAAGGTGTAGCAAGGGCCGCCGACCTCAGGGTTGTCCTCGGTGCGCTTCATGGTGCAGTGCAGACGCTCGTTACCTGATGTCGGATAACTAACAAAGTCCCGCATGTTGTTGGGATCCGGGATGGGGGGCTGAAGTGAGGAAAGGGCGCCAGAAAAAAAGACAAATGGAAGAATGGGAATGATGGTATGAACGTATTACACAACCAGCAGTTTCAAAAACAAGATCCAACTGCCTGTAATCTGGAAGTTTTCTACCTTAATGGTAGAAGCGAAGGCAGAGGACACGTATGTGCTCAGACGAGAGGGCATGCTGAGCTTGGCCACATCTTTCTCCTCGTGTACCGTGCTGGCGATCACCTGTCGGCACAGCAGCTGCAGGCTGGCGACCCGGTGTTCGACGCGAAGCACGTACAGCGCTGGGCCGCTGGCGAGAAACAGACGCGAGTCCCGATGGCCCCAGCACAGCGCACTGATCGGCCTCTGAACACAGATGCAGAAACCAACGGAATATCAATGAAGCAGTCCTGTACGTTTCATCTCTGTGAAATTGTCACATTTATCAGAGTTTTATGAGGGTAAATTTAAGACCTTTTTAAAAACCAAGAAAATGTGTCAAACAATAAGTAGTAGCACTTCAAATACTGAAAATACAACTTCCAACAGATCTTTATTCATTTTTAATTAATTTGACAAAAAACGTTCTTAAAGGGTTAGTTCACCCAAAAATGAAAATAAGCCCACAAATTACTCACCCTCAAGTCATCCTAAGTGTATATGACTTTCTTCTTTCAGACGAATCCAGTCAGAGTTATATTAAAAATTGTCTTTGATCTTTCAAGCTGTTTCATGGCACTCAGCGGGTGTTGCATGCATCAGTCCAAAATAAGTTAAATAAAAAGCATCTATCCATAAAAAAAAGAAATCGAAATCCTCCGACATTCTTCTTTACAAATCCTCGTTTTGTACTTGTAATTAGTGACAGTTGTTTTGTTTTGATCTCTCCGCTGCGCTTCCGCGTTCGTCACTTCTGAGCGGCGCATGCGCAAAGCTGACCTCATACGTCATCCGCCCGGAACTGCTTCCGTTTACAACAGTGAGTGCAAGCTACATTAAAGTGATTATTACGTTTTGAATATGGATATTTTTCTTACAAAAACGCATCGATTTTTATGGACGGGCGCTTTTCCACGTTCGTCACTTCTGAGCGGCGCATGCGCAAAGCTGACCTCATACGTCATCCGCCCGGAACTGCTTCCGTTTACAACAGTGAGTGCAAGCTACATTAAAGTGATTATTACGTTTTGAATATGGATATTTTTCTTACAAAAACGCATCGATTTTTATGGACGGGCGCTTTTTATTTAACTTCTTTTGGATTGATGCATGCAACACCCGCTGAGTGGCATTAAACAGCTTGAAAGATCAAAGACAATTTTTAATATAACTCCGACTGGATTCGTCTGAAAGAAGAAAGTCATATACACCTAGGATGACTTGAGGGTGAGTAATTTATGGGCTAATTTTCATTTTTGGGTGAACTAACCCTTTAAATTATCAGCAGCCATTGCTTCAATCTTCAGTGTCACATGATCCTTCAGAAATCATGCTGATTTGCTGTTAAAATTTTGGCAATAATTATTGGTAAAATGTTAATTATACCAAACTTTTGAGCAATTGTGTGTACCTGTTTTTCTATTCTGGTGGGGAATTAAACCTGAATATACACAGACTCATGGGGACTTGTGTCACGGTGGGGACCTAAATTGAGGTAACCACGGGTAAACAAGCTAATAAAATCACACAGAATTAAGTTTTATGAAAATCTAAAAATGCACAAAGTTTCCTGTAAGGGGTAGGTTTAGGTGTAGGGTAGGGCAATAGACTATACGGTCTGTACAGTAGAAAAACCATTACGCCTATGGAGAGTCCCCACAATGATATCAAACCAGACGTCTGTGTGTGTGTGTGTGTGTGTGTGTGTGTGTGTGTGTGTGTGTGTACACACACATACACACACATATATATATATATTGGCAGAACACACAGCTAATTTTTGAATGGCTGTCAAGAAAGATGGAAATGCAAGGTAGTACATTACAGACACTTCTATGGATATGCACAGTTTTGCATACTATACACAGCAGCAATAATATAAGAATGGTAGTAGATGTCCCAAACAAAGCCTCTGTTCTGTCTTGTACCATGTTTATTCTGTGATAAATGTTGCTGACAAGAATGTTAATGTGTTTTCTGTTCGTATAATGTCATTTTACACCTTAACATATTTAACAGTAGCCAGCATAAGAAACAACAAACAAACAAACAATAAATGTTTATTATTAAAAGGACCAAAATGGCATTTCAGTGCAAATTACTATATAAACTGTGCCAAATCATTAGTTATATTTCATAAGATAGTTAGATAGCTGAAGCAACATTAGAAGCAATTATAAAAATAAAATGATACACAAAGCATTCTTTTACAAGAGTAAATAAAGGTGATTTTGAAATATTTTCTTCTTTCTTATCACAGCTTATTATGCAAAGACAAATATTGTAAGTAAGCCATTGGTAGGTGGCTGTGCTGCTGACAAAACATTGCTGTGTTTCTTTGAGCAACACAGCAACTGTGGCTCATTGTTATTTTAATATTATTTATGTACTATTATTTATTAATATTTTAGATTATCTTTTATTTTTTATATTTTGAGTTATAATTTTTAGTACTTCAATTTAAACATTTTATTTTTGTTAGTTGCCAATGCAACATTTCTAATTATATTTAGAAGATATATTTTAAAAAATATTTATAAATATATTTATATATTTTTTAAGCCCAATTTAAATAATAATTTAAAAAAAATAGTGTTAGTTAACAATAATTTGTCTCTTTGTCCAAAAAATAAATAAATAAACAGGGGAAGTGTTCGGGACACCTGTTTGAAGACTTTATTTTTGCAGTTCTGTTTCACACAGAAATCACACATGCTCTCAGAACATTTTTTTAAATCTTTAATGACTGCACTACAAGTCAATGATTTGATTAATGAAGAAATCCAATTATTGGTTTAGTTTGCCATCTGACCGCTTTCAGTATCTTATTCATTGATTATGTGAAGGCTTCCAAAGAGAATTACAGTTTTCTGTTTGACAACCTTCACTTGATAAAAGGGTTTTGCTGCGGTCTGAGGTGAATGAGGAAAAAATAGTGGACATAAACTGCAACCGTAATGTAATAAGTGCTATATTCACTGCACAGTCAAGAACAAAGATCCAAAGACTGTACAAAACAGGTAAAGGTTTTCAACCTACATAGATGATCTATAGTTAGCATGAATTGAAGAGAACAGATGAGGTATAAAAAGTATTTTATAGGGTTGCTTATTTGTTGGTATTTCAAAATCATTTAAAGGGGTGGTTCAGTGGGGTTTTTTCTAGGCTTGATTGTGTTTGTGGGGTGCAGTCTAACATGTGTTAATGCTTCGTTTTTTTAATAACGCATTATTTTTCACATAATTTACCTTTATTCCACACCGCTTTGTCCCTTCTCTGAGAAACACACTGATCATTTCCTTCTTTTATGAAGCCCCTCCCTCAGAAATAGGTGATGGGCTCTGATTGGTTAGCTAGCCCAGTGTGTTGTGATTGGCTAAACCACCTCTAGTGCGTGTCTAAACGTCCCGCCCCTCTCCTCAGCAGCATTTTGTAAACAAAGGTGTTATTAATATTGCTTATCAGCTTGAGCCCGATTGAGAAGCAGAGGATATTATTGAAGAGGATCGTGCAGAACCTGTGCAAGCACGGCTTTTAATGGTAGGCCTATGTTTTTTGTTTGTTGTTGTCTCATACTTTTAGATATGCTGTTATTTGTAAATGCTACTGCTTATGTTAGCTTTTAATATACGGTTTTATTCTGATTAAAGCTTTAATACAGTACGGCTGTAGTAAATGTATCCATGTTTAACGCTTCTCATAGCTATGTGAAAATAAGAGTATAATTGTAACAGTTCATTGCTGGAGCTGAGCTCAATGAGAGAGAGAGAGAGATGCAGAGCAGGGGGACGCGAGGAACATTATTGAGAACCGCTGCTTTAGAACATTGATTTTGAAACTTGTGAATCCACTAGAATCGTTAGAAGACATAATCGCGATTCATACACACTAACTAACATTAAAAAAGTGAAATCGCAATGAACCACCCCTTTAACATCTCAAAATAATTAAACTTTTCAATGTTATTACATTTTTCCACTTTCTCTCTGATGTTGAGTTACATCTGACTGTGAAAGAGGTTTTTTTTTTTTTTTTGGGTGAAGGGCTTTCTAAAAAAGTAATTGATCCGTCAAAGAAATGTTTTGTACATCCTCTACACTTACATTTAGAGAAAGAAGAGATGACTCACCGGCTGGCATTTCTTAAAGGGGTCATATGATGCGATTTCAAGTTTTCCTTTCTCTTTGGAGTGTTACAAGCTGATTGTGCATAGATAAGGTCCCTGAAGTTGCAAAGTCTAAAGTCTCAAAACCAAAGAGATATTCTTTATCAAATTTAAGACTCTGCCACGCCCCCCTAAAACGGCTCGTTCTAACACGCCCCCACATATCTAGGTCACTATGTGGAAATATTTGCATAATGCCACCCAAATGTGCACGCAAAGAAAGAAAGCGTGGTTTCAGTAACCGCAGTTAGTGTTGAAGCAGCCATGTCAGGGAGACGCTGTGTGTTTCAGTGCGAAAGCAAAAGCACTTTATTTGTCCGTCCGAAAGTAGATGCATTTAGGAATCTTTAAGATCATTTACAACAGAACAGCAATGCATTTTATGGACGACCGTTTCGTGAACGTAGGAGAGGAGGTAATTCTGACTTTGCTATGACAATCTGGTGCTTCTGAATCAGCTACTGTTTTGTTATTAGTTTAAGTATTTGCTATTGACTGTTCAAATGCGGAGTTTTGCGCATCGTGTGTGTGTGTGTGCGCGAGCGAGCGAGCGAGCGAGAGAGAGAGACATCACAGTGGATTCAGCTGTCTTAACCGTGACTTGTGTACTGCAAACACATATTTATCACTGTGTCTGTCCAACGTGATCTCATGATAATTCGTATGTATTTTACGTAAAATGTGGTTCTATAAAACGTACATTTACTTACGTTTTTACAGGCACTAAAGTGTACAAATACGTATGTATTTTCAGCCTCTAAACGTACAAATACTTACGTATTTTTAGCATTTAAATGTACAAAACTGACATATTGACGACACCTAAAAATGAATCCTTATGAATATTGAAATCGCTGCATTCATTTTATTAGTTTTTAGTTGTCATATTAATTAGTAAAACAAGGAAAGAGGTTTTTAAAAGATCCCCACCGTGCAGAAAAAGGCATTTCCAAACAATTTCGTTACCGCTGGGGACTGAGAGTTAGAAAATCAGGTCATGAGAGAGTGTAATGATCGGAACAGCTCAGGTATGGCTGAACGCAGACAGTTGTTCTTTAGACTTTTTGGGACATCTTTTTTGTTCTTCGGGAACAGAATAAAACAGCAGAAGGTGTCGTTGACGTCTTTTGCAAATTCCCCTTAATAGACCCTCTAGCTCTAATTTTACTCTCACAGGAGGAATAAAAGCATTTTACATTTGTACTGCATTCTTATTTTTGGCAGCCAAAGGCCAAGGAAGACAGCAGCCCTTGGATCAGAGTCTCAATGCTGAGATCACAGTCTACATGAATATCTTTTTATGATTTTACCCAAAATCCTTCTAATCTCATATCATCCTTTCCATTGACGTGGAACCAGCATCTGTGATTTATTTTGGCTGGAACTTTTCTAGCATTTAATTCTAGGTCTGTGTGGTAATATAAACTCGAGATTGATACATTTGTCAAATTCCATGTAAGTCTATCAGCATAAAGCCGGAGGAGCTTCTAGCAGTGACGCTATCCCTGCTCAAGAAAACTGCATATGCTGGTTAGGTATGTTTTGACCATTATAAACCAGCTCACGACCAGCTAAGGACCAGCTTAAACCAGCTCAAACCAGCAGCCATGCTTCAAAACATACCTAACCAGCAACCGCTGGGGTTTTTTTCAGCAGGGATGGTTGTCTTTCCCTACACATCTCTGTTTAGTTCACTTGAATGTCTTTAATCACTGTAAAGAAAAGTCGGGTTATGTTTTTCCAACCGAATGTTTCCATTTCCAAGAACACTCCAGTCCCCACAGGCCTTTAGTTGCATGAATATTCAGGTATAAAATCATCATGCAGTTAATAATCATGAGGTTGTTTTTCCACAGCTGAACTAATGCACATTTTGTAACCGAGTGCTATATGAGGACTGTTTATGGTTTTGCAGCGACATCTTGTGGTTGAAATGATGAATGATTGAGGCTAAAGCTGATTTGTTTAAAAGCAGAGGTTGTTGTGCAATCCAATTGGTGTGGTTGAAATTGCTTGAAGGTTATACTACTGCATAATGGTTCCAAAACTAATAATTATCTTATATATTGTTGTTAGTTTGATAGGCAGCACAAACATCTTGAAAGGTGTGAAGAGTGGGGGCAATTGTAACATTTTCCTTGATAACATCTTTTGGGATAAGAAATGTATCCATGTATGTGCCAATGGTAATAGTACCTAAAATATAGAAATATTTACACTGAATAAGACCTGATAATATTGTATTTAATCAAACAAGTCAGAATGTTACATTCGCCCCATTGCAAGGGTTGTTGTAAAAATAATGATATTGATATTGTCTCTCAAATAAAAGAACACATTGAAGTAATACAATTTCTTAATTATTATACTTGTATAGTTTTAATCCGTAATGTTTGTGACTGTAGAGAATTTGGGGGTTGGTAAGATTTGTAAATATCTGTAGTCTCTTATGCAAAAATATAGTAATACTATGAAATATTATTACAATTTAAAATAACTGTTTTCTATTTTGAATACATCTTTTCAGGATATTTAAAACATTTTAAGTTTTTATATAATTGTTTTGTTTTTTGTAATTCAATATTAATTTTGAAAGTGTTTTAAGTGTCAACTTCACTGGTGTAAACTGGGAATTTTAGATGAGATCTGAGGCAGGCTAAGCAAGTCTTTTAAAACCATTAAACCAATTTTCTTGTCGTCTGGATTTCTGGGACCGGAACAGCAATAGGATCTATCCACAAATGTAAAAAATTCTTTCAGACGTGTCAAAACAACTCAAAGCACATAATTTTGCTCATAGCACACGTATACATTTCACCACACTTCTTAAATGGGGTTTCAGAAAGTCCACAGTGTGAGGATGTAATAAATATGATTTTGTTTACTGAATATTCATCAGTCCCTGATGATATTTGTATACTGTATATGTCTGCATTTAAAAACACATGAAACCACAGTGACTTATTTTCCCTGAGTTCCAGTGAGGTTCCCATGAAAACTGTTGTTCCTGTTGATTGCATTACTTGATGAATGGATGGAAATACAGAATTGATGGTTAAAACAGAAGAGTGATTGGGTGATGGTGCATTATTTACTTTTTCTGGATTAGTGTGGACAGTCAAAATCCATAAAAAGGGCACAATGTACTGTAGTAATATGAAGGAATTTAGAATTTTGCACTTGTGTTGTGTTTTAGGGTTAATGACCTGGCAGAAAATTGGCAGTACATTTCATTTAACAGCGTAGGTTGGTTATGTGGTCCAGTTTTCCCCAGCTAGTAAATACTACAATATCTGGCTGCAAAAAATTATCGGACATAAAAAAAGAATCACTATAACACAGACATCTAAGATGAATTAAGTCTAACTCTTTATTATTGCAGTCACAGAAAAAATCCAGACAAGGCATTGATTTACTCAATGCAAAAAGAACGCAATAAGATGTCTTTACATTGTCCGCAGCGGAGAAACTCCAGTACATTTTGCTATTATTTTATTTATTATAATTTATAAGCTTTTATGTTTTTTTATACCAGTCTTGGTTCACACTGTTCTGGTCTGTTACTAATTCAGCATCATCCCTCTATTGGTATTGAGCCAAAGCAGGTTGAAGGTGGTGTAGTTCTGTTGAGACATTATGTACAGTCAATATCTACCACCATAATATTTTAAAGTTATATATAGATATATACAGTATATTTACACACACACATATATCACTGCTCAAGAAACATTTCTTATTATTAATGTTTCAGCTTTGCAATCACAAGAATAAATTACATTTTTTTTTAAATATAGAAAACAATTATTTTAAATTGTAATAATATTTTACAATATTACCGTTTTACTGCATTTTTTGATCAAATAATATTTAATTTCTAGGTTAACAAATGACCATTTTTGAGCAACAGGATTTTGGGTCAGACGTATCAAACCTCTGTCTGGTCCACCAGTCCTTTCACTTCAGGTTGTTTGGATGTCATATAAACCTAAAATATAACAAGTTAAGAAAGTCATCCTAAAGGATGGGTGTTTGAACGTCAAATTCAGAGAATGTCACTGCCCCGATCCCCTAGCACCTAAACTCCGCTTTTTCTTACCTGCACTAAAGTGTTGTGCTATTCCTGAGCAGCATGAAGCACAGGTACACATCCTTCAGCCCAAGAATCAATCGCACAGCGCTGAGGTTCTGGATCCTCTTGCCAAAAGAGTTCATGTTCTGGATCATCCCCTTCATCTCTCCTCAGGAGAAGACATTCAAGCGTCTCCACCAGGTTATTTTGTGCCCACCAAACCGAGAAGGGTATCAACTGGTTGAGGGCAGGAAGTTTGTGTATGAGCTAAATGAATGCCTCATAAAACTTTTCCATTGTACACTCTCAGAATAAAGGTACAAAAGCTGTCAGTGGGGCAGTACCTTTTCAAAAGGTACACTTTTGTACCTTTTAGGTACTAATACGCACCTTTAAGTTAAGGTACCAATACGGATCCTTTAGGTAGAAAGGTGTACCTTTTGAAAAGGCACTGCTTATGTACCTTTATTTCTAAGAGTGTAAATAAGCTATTAATATAAAGGCCTTAATCAGCGTAGACTGCATTTTAAATTTTACATGGATGAAAACAACGCTGTGAGGGATAGACTTTTATAATTTAAGGTTTTATAATGGCATGCATTGTATGTGGTCCTAAATCAAATGTCATTTTCAAAACTCACAACTTTCAAAGCTGTTTAATGTCTGTTTAAGTTTTTGGAAAGATGTTTCATCAGCTGAATAGTCATTGTGTTGTTAAACAACAGTACAATCCGTTGAACACACTGTACATCTCTTTCTTTTCAATCTCATTTTCATTCCTGTCAAAAATTAAATATGCAGCTTCACTTGATGTCCTAAAATAACTCAAACTGAAATGAAAGTTACTTAAATGTCGAAATATTTAAAAAATAATAATGCTAATAATAATAAACCTGACAAAAACACACAACAAAAATTTTAACTAAAATTAAAATGAAAACAGACAATTTAAAATAATTAAAATTATTGATAAAACCCTAATAGTCATTTAATGATACTAAAATAGCATTGTCTGGATGATTACACATTGTACACTCTAAAACGTATAATTCCGCTCACCTGTCTTTTTAGATACACCTGATAGCATCTGTCCATCACTCCTTCTATCAGTTCTGCGATAATGTCTGCCACTACCTCCTCACCCTCCTCCTGGGAGAGCATGCTGGTCCAGCTGGACTCGGTAAGGCGTCCCGGGACAATGTCCACCGTCTCAATGGGCTGGACTGCAGGAGCAGCATTAACTGCGACAGAATCGGTGCGGCTTTTATCAGCCCGTGATTTGGCAGCTGAGCGACGCATGGCCTTCACCTCTCGTGGAAAATAAAATAAAATTAGGCCTATCACTATGGGGCCAGAGGAAGAGGAAGAGGAAGAATACAACAACAAAAGCAGGCTAAGCTCACTTTGGGAACAGGATACATGTGATTGCCTAGTACAATGTAGAATATATATATTAAGGATTAGTTATTAGTTATCACCTGCAGTTGTTGTCAAAATTGGTATATCTCAGTAACTGTCTCAGTTTTGAGTCAAAATGCAATTATTCAAAGGCTAGAGTGTCTAAGACAGACAGACAGACAGACACACAGACAGACAGATAGACAGATAGATAGATAGATAGATAGATAGATAGATAGATAGATAGATAGATAGATAGATAGATAGATAGATAGATAGATAGATAGATAGATAGATAGATAGATAGATAGATAGATAGATAGATAGATAGATAGATAGATAGATAGATAGATAGATAGATAGATAGATAGATAGATAGATAGATAGATAGATAGATAGATAGATAGATAGATAGATAGATAGATAGATAGATAGATAGATAGATAGATAGATAGATAGATAGATAGATAGATAGATAGATAGATAGATAGATAGATAGATAGATAGATAGATAGATAGATAGATAGATAGATAGATAGATAGATAGATAGATAGATAGATAGATAGATAGATAGATAGATAGATAGATAGATAGATAGATAGATAGATAGATAGATAGATAGATAGATAGATAGATAGATAGATAGATAGATAGATAGATAGATAGATAGATAGATAGATAGATAGATAGATAGATAGATAGATAGATAGATAGATAGATAGATAGATAGATAGATAGATAGATAGATAGATAGATAGATAGATAGATAGATAGATAGATAGATAGATAGATAGATAGATAGATAGATAGATAGATAGATAGATAGATAGATAGATAGATAGATAGATAGATAGATAGATAGATAGATAGATAGATAGATAGATAGATAGATAGATAGATAGATAGATAGATAGATAGATAGATAGATAGATAGATAGATAGATAGATAGATAGATAGATAGATAGATAGATAGATAGATAGATAGATAGATAGATAGATAGATAGATAGATAGATAGATAGATAGATAGATAGATAGATAGATAGATAGATAGATAGATAGATAGATAGATAGATAGATAGATAGATAGATAGATAGATAGATAGATAGATAGATAGATAGATAGATAGATAGATAGATAGATAGATAGATAGATAGATAGATAGATAGATAGATAGATAGATAGATAGATAGATAGATAGATAGATAGATAGATAGATAGATAGATAGATAGATAGATAGATAGATAGATAGATAGATAGATAGATAGATAGATAGATAGATAGATAGATAGATAGATAGATAGATAGATAGATAGATAGATAGATAGATAGATAGATAGATAGATAGATAGATAGATAGATAGATAGATAGATAGATAGATAGATAGATAGATAGATAGATAGATAGATAGATAGATAGATAGATAGATAGATAGATAGATAGATAGATAGATAGATAGATAGATAGATAGATAGATAGATAGATAGATAGATAGATAGATAGATAGATAGATAGATAGATAGATAGATAGATAGATAGATAGATAGATAGATAGATAGATAGATAGATAGATAGATAGATAGATAGATAGATAGATAGATAGATAGATAGATAGATAGATAGATAGATAGATAGATAGATAGATAGATAGATAGATAGATAGATAGATAGATAGATAGATAGATAGATAGATAGATAGATAGATAGATAGATAGATAGATAGATAGATAGATAGATAGATAGATAGATAGATAGATAGATAGATAGATAGATAGATAGATAGATAGATAGATAGATAGATAGATAGATAGATAGATAGATAGATAGATAGATAGATAGATAGATAGATAGATAGATAGATAGATAGATAGATAGATAGATAGATAGATAGATAGATAGATAGATAGATAGATAGATAGATAGATAGATAGATAGATAGATAGATAGATAGATAGATAGATAGATAGATAGATAGATAGATAGATAGATAGATAGATAGATAGATAGATAGATAGATAGATAGATAGATAGATAGATAGATAGATAGATAGATAGATAGATAGATAGATAGATAGATAGATAGATAGATAGATAGATAGATAGATAGATAGATAGATAGATAGATAGATAGATAGATAGATAGATAGATAGATAGATAGATAGATAGATAGATAGATAGATAGATAGATAGATAGATAGATAGATAGATAGATAGATAGATAGATAGATAGATAGATAGATAGATAGATAGATAGATAGATAGATAGATAGATAGATAGATAGATAGATAGATAGATAGATAGATAGATAGATAGATAGATAGATAGATAGATAGATAGATAGATAGATAGATAGATAGATAGATAGATAGATAGATAGATAGATAGATAGATAGATAGACAGATAGATAGACAGACAGACAGATAGACAGATAGATAGATAGAACAATTAGGCTATTTAAAATCTACTTTAATGTAAAACTTAATTTCATTTGGCAATATTACAAAGTGCACTTTTTAGTACTCTTAAGTACTCTTAAGTGGCCTTTTATTTAATTAATATATTAACCGCAAGCGCAGTTTTTATTATAATATTTTCAATATTTGAAGTACACTAAAAGTGCACATTCACTACAATTAAGCAAACTTCTGTTTCACAAACAAATGAAATCTGATGTTATACAATTATTGAGAGAGAGAGAAATTCTCGGCACATTAAAGAAGATAGCATATAACATTAAAACACTCACATGTATGCCCGACTTCTGTTGTTGACTTCGGATTCTGGTTGCCAAGCAGGCAGGCGCGTCTGAGCAAGAAGACACCGGAAACGACGAAATACTGCAGCCATTTTGCAGCAATATCAGGACAGCAGGACTGGGCCAGCGGTCTCCGGACAGAGCGTCAACTCAGAGCGAAATAACACAGAATTATGGCTGGGACGACGGTAAGTTGGTGCTTTTGTGATTTGTATTCAGTTTAACATTATCGGTAAACGCCAGCACCAACACATCCGGGTTTGCTGGAAAAGGTGGCCTGGAGAGTGCGGAGGGTGTTGATTTGTACGCGAGCACTGCAAAATGACGGAAATGGATTCTTGATTATATGTAACGTTAAGTGGAATCGCTGCAGACGCTCGGTTGCAGGTCCTGTACCTAAATGTATTTTTTAAAGCTTCTTGACTCCGGATTGCCTTATGCAGACGCAAACTCTCTCTCTCTCTCTCTCTCTCTCTCTCTCTCTCTCTCTGTGTGTGTGTGTGAGTGTGAGTGAGTAAAGTTATGCAAGTAAACAAAGTGACCAAATGAATGAAACTGTAAAGTATTTTCCTTAGTCCTTGCATGGTTACGGGGGTAAATATTTACCGCTAGTGGATATCTTTAAAACACATATTAAGTTATTTTTATTTTTTTGAAGTTTGAGTAATATTGTCATTTAATTATATTAATTAAATTAATAAGCGTGTTCCTTCAAAACTTAAAGGAATACTAAAGTAATACATATGATTCGAGTGATTTAATCCAATTTAATTTCGTTTTTTATTCACATGGTAAGCATTGATCAATGCACATATATTCTCCAGTGTGCCACAATCATATTTTTAGCTTCCATTTACCATATTTGATGTGTTCTATGTATGTTCATTGTTTAATG